TAATTATGGCTTCTTGGAAGGCTATTTTTATATTTGCTCTGACGCTTTTCTGTAAATGAAGGATGTATAAAAATCAAAAAAGAAAAATAACCCCATCAAACATCATTACTATTTACCGGGACTTACACAAATTCATTGTCATATGCATGTGAGCCCATGCTAGTATGATAAAAGATAAAACATCTTCTATATTTATAATTTATTGATATTGATACCGTATTTCAATTCCTCCTTATTAAGACAGAAAGGATCAGACTACCCTTCGAATCTCTAGATGTAAATGCTAACTTCAATGATACAAACACAACAATATACTTTAAATGTATACTTCACAATTGATTTAGAGCTTAACATTCTATCCTTGCATTGGAAATAAACACATTTATTCTAAAACCAGTTATTGTCATGATACGGGAAATGTTCTTTTCGTATAATTTATGATGGCTTGATACTTAACCCCTAACGGGAGGGATTTTGGTTGATTTTCATATGATAAAGACATAATCTTTCAATCAGTTAAATTGAGGTCTGCAGCTGGCATGTCAGTAACTGCTAGTAGTCCTTTATTTTGTTACTTTATGTTTATCATTGTCATGTTGCTTAGTTTATTCTGTTACATATTCGTACATCGGACTTAGACTTCTTATAAACCGATTTTTAACCATATTTGTATTTTTGTTGTGTAACCTATTTGTTTTTTGTTCATTATTTTGTACATAAATCAGGCCGTTAATTTTCTCGTTCTATATGTATATTCTATATAGGCGCCTGTCTATTCTATTGTTGACGACTGTACATTGACTCTTACATGATTTTTATGTTTTTCTGTGTTTGCTGCTGGGTTGCTATCTCATTGAAGTATATCCACATCTTCTTTTTAAATATCAATTTATATTCCATATGTTGTAGTATTCTTCTTTGTTCATTGGTTATTAAGATCATGTGATTCAAAGGATATTTATCAATAATGGACTTTTGACGAGGTCGATACGTTATATATGGTACTGGTCAGATTAAATTTACCGAGGACGAAAATCTAACATAGATATAAGAAGATGTGGTATGAGTGCCAATGAGACAACTCTCCATCCAAGTCACAATTTAAAAAAAGTAAACCATTATAGGTCAAAGTACGGTCTTCAACACGGAGCCTTGGCTCACACCTTGTCCATATATAAGGTACTGACTGACTAAAAGTCCTTAATTTATTTAAAACATATGTAAATAGTGTATTATGAAAATGGACTTCATTGTTCTTTCTGTGTATTTTACATTGTATTTTGCAAGATTTTCAATATTGACCGTCATAATATATATATTACTGTTTAGTATTAAATTTATAATTAAGATCCATTTATTACATCGGTGATCCGTTTATTTGGCGATCGCCAATGGCAGTCAGAAGGGTTTAAGAACATTTGTTGTTCGACCTGTTAGTCAAATGCATTTTGTTAAAATATACCTTTTCACTTTTTTGGTCTTTTGGAAAATGTTGTTTGTGCTGTATTTAGACCCCTCTAACAAGAAATTTGTTTTGCATGCACACGTATATAAATTGCGGTTTTTATCCAACGCAATCATAGGTTTGAACGTTGTTTTTATACGTGTGCATGCAAAACAAATTTCTTGATAGAGGGGTCTAAATACATCACAAACAACATTTTCCAAAAGACCAAAAAAGTGAAAAAGTATATTTTAACAAAACGCATATGACCAACAGGTCGAACAACAGATGTTCTTAAACCCTGCTGACTGCCATTGGCGATTGCCAAATAAACGGATCACAAGATGTTACAGAAGTTATTAATTAAATACCAAACAGAAAACAATAAACTTGCGGAAAAGATTGTATACCGCAAACAAAAGGTGCAAAAATTAGTACACCATATCCGGATTTCGACAATTAATGTCTCTTCAGTGATGTTGGGTATCGAAACGGTATTTGGAAGGCCATATAATTTACCTCAATTTAGGATACTAGACTCTTGAATTTTGAAGAGTCGAAATATTAGAAATAGGATGAACGGATCATATGAAACCGAAGGAAAATATAATACAAGCCCAAACGAAAAAAATATAAACAAGTCTAAATTGAAAACAACGTTCAAACCTATGATTGCGTTGGATAAAAACCGCAATTTTTGTACGTGTGCATGCAAAACAAATTTCTTGATAGAGGGGTCTAAATACAGCACAAACAACATTTTCCAAAAGACCAAAAAAGTGAAAAAGTATATTTTAACAAAAGGCATATAGAAATAGAAACATAGCGTCGTCCATATACTTAAATATGTAATTAATATATATAGTCAAGAGTTTTTTCTATATATTAAGCTATTGACATCATATTCCAAGTCTGAGTAAATTCGGGATAAAGCAATCAGTTTTAATTAAAATATAACTTATAAAGGGTTATCATAACAATTGCACAATAATGGCTGTGTTTACACCTCAAAAATTACTCAGAGTATATATAGACAAACATGTGCAGTTGGAATTTTTTTAATGTATAGCATACACTAGATCTATGAAGTAAAATGTATTTTGTTTTTTCAGAAAAATAAAATCTTTTTTGGATATTGATCGGCCGTTTAGTGATTAAATAAACACCTGAATCACATTTATACTTTCCACTCAGTTACACTATTATCCATATCAATAAAGACAATACATAACAATTGTTTCCTGAGGTGGGCGGGCATAATATCAAAGATTTTTTCTAAACTTGGTTTATTTTTTACACCTTTGGAAAGAACGGAAAAAAATGCCTATCATAATAAAAAACAATATTTTGTCTTTCTGAAACACAGAATGCATTTAATTGTCATATAACTAGTTGACGTAGACTTTACATTTTTTCCAGCTGGGCAGGTTTGTCTGTACTCAGAACCTTTTTTTTCAATGTAAGCAGCCATTTTTGTCCAATTATTATGATAATATGAATAAGAAGATGTGGTTCGAGTGCCAATGAGACAACTCTCCATCCAAGTCATAATATATAAAAAGTTAACAATTATAGGTCAAAGTACGGCCTTCAACACGGAGCCTTGGCTCACACCGAACAGCAAGCTATAAGGGGCCCCAAAATGACTAGTGTAAAACAATTCAAACAGGAAAACCAACGGTCTAAACTATATAAAAAACGAGAAACGAGAAACACCTATAAACCACACCAACAAACGACAACCACTGAATAACAGGCTCCTGACTTAGGACAGGTGCATAAAAATGCAGCGGGTTTAAAAGGTTTTATCAGGCGCCAACCTTCACCCTAACCTGAGACAGTAGTGAAACATTACATTCAAATACACACTATAAGATATCAATTGAAATGGCTTAACTCGATCAAAAAGACATTAAAACAAAAACAAGTAAACATAAACAGAACGAATAAGTTTGATATATGACACAATATAAATACAATATTTACCGTAGGTGTCTATATAACATAGACGTTACAGGTATTAATAAAAAAAAGATTGATTTGATTGATTCTTGGTGTTTTAACGCCACTTTTAAGCACCGCTTTTGGGCTATTTCGTGGCGGCCAGTTTTTATTGGTGGAGGGAGCCGGAGTGCCCGGAGAAAACCACCGACCTTCGATAGGAAAACTGACAATCCTAGTCAATTAAGATTGGCCAACGAGGCCCCTTAAAAAAAAAAAAAAAAAAAAAAAGATGTAGTAAGAGTGTCAATAAGCCAACTCTAACCTGGGACAAAATGGCGTTAAATAAAACAACGTAGACAGTTAAATTTAAATGTAATAATTTTGTTGTTCAGAGTACGAGTACATTATTAACGCAATATACCTAAAATATATCTCATTTGAAAAACTGGAGACCCACAGTTGAATACAAACAAGAGTTATCCAACTTTTCACATAAAAATGAACAGGATTTTTATAATTGCTAACAAACATATTTAACCCCGCCACATTCTTTATGTGCGTGTCCCAAGTCAGGAGCCTGTAGTTCAGTGGTTGTCGTTGGTCTGATGTATTTGTTTTTCGTAAATTGTTTTTTTTATAAAAAAAAAAGTATAACAAAAATACCGAACTCCAAGGTAAATACAAAAAGGGGGAAGTCCATAAAAACTGACAAAATCAAACGTTATCAATCAACGGAACACATCAATTATTCCGTTAGTTTTATCGTTTGAACTGTTTCACATTTTTTCATAGCCGACTATAAGGTATGGGTTTTTTTCTCATTGTTGAATGTCTAAAATTGATTATATCCACTTCAATTGATCTCTGGTGGATAGTTGTCTCATTGGCAATTATACCAAAACCCAATTCTGAATGAATGGCAATTAATGCTTCTGCTGAACAGACTTAAGAAGTCTAAAATAATTTGACATGCATAAAAAAAAGTGTTGACATATCATGCATACAGGACTTCTATTATCAGATACGAACAGAGCATCAAATGTAATAAAAGATGTATTTTGTCACAGAGAAACAGCTCTTTCAACAAATATGTTGACCACTTTTGTATTATTCGTCAACATTTATAAACGATAACACAAAGATATGTTTTTAAATCAAAATTTTCTAAACACTGTAAAATTTCAACAGCTCAAAAATATAAAAATGAAAATAAAGAGGCCCATTGAGATCGGTAGTTTACACCTTTTTATACAACCTTTTTGCTTCTATTTCAACCAGTGAAAGTAGTTTGTAAAAATAATATAGGCTTACCATATTGCTAAAAATGGTTAGCTTTTGCATATTTCAGATAAAAACACCCACACATAAATAAAGTTCGATTAACAGAATTAATAAGATTCATCACACAACACCATAAAATCATCAACAAATTCTCTGAAACAGAGGATATTTCATTTGGCAGTCAAAAAGGAACCTTCATTGTTGAAGGCCGTACGGTGACCTATGGTTGTAAACTTCTATGTCATTTGGTCTCTGGTGGAGAGTTGTCTCATTGGAAATCACACCACATCTTATTTTTTAATTTATACTTACATCATAACTCGTAACTTACCTTAAGTTGAGAATTTGTACAGATAATGACTTTGTAATTATTTTATTAAGAGTCTATTGTGCTGTCAAAAGACTTCATGAACACAGGGACAATGATTGGCTGTTGTATTGAGTAGCCCTATAGGTAGCGGTGCTAAATATCTGGACTTGCCTACCTAAAACGAGATACCGTACTACAGTACTTAAAAATCTGGTTACAATACATAAACAAGATCTGTATTATAATCAAATTGCGGCAGTACACAAGATCTGTATTTCATTCAAATACGTTACTAATACCCGTAACTATGATATTTTTGTGCATAAATACTATTCAGACGTTATACAGGTCATGGTTATTGTATACATTGATGAATCATTTTCCCTTTGCATGAAGTTGTAAATATAAACTTTTTCTAGTGTTGAAAAAGAAATAAAAATTGCTTCTTTAAGTAATAACTGTCAACTTCCATATTTTTCTTGTAGGTGTTTTGCAAAGGAGACAGAAGTTTTTACGAAATACAGTCCAAATTTTCATCCAACATAGTCAACATTGGGTCAATAGTATACCTTCTTCGTTTCGGGTAAATGCTTCTTCATTTGTCTATACCCGATTGAGGACTTTTTTTCGTATTCATAATACTGAAGGAACGACGATTTGCCGGATTTTCAGGAAAAAGCAAGGCTCAAACTAAAAGTGAGATAAGTTTAGATTGTGTAGGTTGTTCACTAGCAAACAGAAAAAAATAATGCGTTAAGTATCAAGTGCATTTTGTATTCACCTTTTAAAGTAAATCCCCCAATCATTGAAAATTATCATACTAGGTACTTAGATGTAAAGATGTATACAACTGTAGTTTTGATGATCATTCCGCTAAAAAACAAGTTCCTGGCTATTTTGATAAAACTGAGTTTCCTCTTATTTGTTATGTTTATACAAAAAAACTACCCGGAAATATGTGCTTAATTACAGCGAAGTGTGTAAAGATGTTAATATCAGTGACAATACACCTACGTCATACAATTGCAGTAATTCCGAATACATTTATGGCCCCAGTTCCCATGTTATAAAAGGAGACATTAACATCGTCCATGACCGAGAGTTGAAATCATTCCTCAGTAAAGGACCTAAATATCGGCCCCGTCAATTATTAATTGGAATGAGTGTCGTAACATCATTAACGACTCACTCCGTACTTACTGCACGAAATTGATAAAACGAGAAAAAGCTGACAAAAAAATCCTTAGATTCTTTTTTTAATTCAGTAATGAACATAGTTGATATTCGTATTAAACATTTTAAAGAACATTTTACTCCTATAACAACAACCATAATAGCCCTATTTCTCGTATCAAACATAAGCTAAAAGAACTCGCCAATGAATTTGCTTTTGTCCCGGCTTATAAGGCTGCCAATAATATTATTATTGTTTGACGTGAAATTTACATTGAGGTTCTGCAAAAGGAAATCACGAATTCACCAACATTCCAATTGACTCCATTTTCGGGAACTGATATATGTAACAAACATACACCTTTAGGTACCTCTTTACCAGCAGAACCAAATACAATGAAATTTCCAACTATGTACTGTCTTCCGAAGCTGCACAAAACAAATAACAACTTATTACTATATATTTATTTTGTCTTCAAGCCATTGTTCCTTTACTAAACTGTCTATTCTACTTACTAGCAACTTGGTACAACAAAAACCTGGTAATAAATTGTTTACGTTGTTTCGGTGTTTTTCTCTTAAAGTTGATGTGTTTCCCTCGGTTTTGGTTTGTGACCCGGATTTGTTTCAGTTAAATCGATTTATGACTATTGAACAGCAATATACTACTGTTGCCTTTATTTGAATAAGGCATTTGAAAATAGTGGAATTAATTACTTTTGGAGTGTCAAAAACTCGTTGGAAGTACTTGATAAATTGCATGCTTATATTGGTGATTTTGAATCTGTTCAAAGTTTTGATTTTTCTACCCTATATACCACTTTGCTTCATTATCTCATTAAGAAAACATTCACACACCTAATTAAATGGGCCTTTAAAAAGTCAGAATGTAAATATATATGTTCAAACTCTTTTAGGTCATTTTTCATTAACAAAAAAAAAAAAAAAATAGAACTATGTCAATTGGACCTGCTTTGATATGATAACTGCACTTGAATTTTTACTAGTTAACCATTTTGTTCGCTAAAGAGATTCCGTATATCTTCAAGTAATCGAAATTCCAATGAGGACTAACTGTGCACCACTTATTGCGGACCTGTTTCTGTATTGTTATGAGTTACAATTTATGACTAAAATCAGCAAAGACCCATCGAAACAACATCTGATACAAACATTTAACAGCACTTTGAGATTTTCGGATGATATATTGGCTCTCAATAATGACGACTGCAGTATATACACTAACTAGATTTATCCTGCTGAACTGACTTTAAATAAAGCGAATACTAACAATGAACACTGCCCTTTCCTGGATCTTGATGTCTATATCTTTAACGGGAAGCTTAATACCAAAATTTACGATAAAAAAGATGATTTTTCTTTTCCTGTTGTTAATTATCCATTTTTAGATGGTGACGTTCCCTTTTAACCATCTTAAGGTGTTTATATATATCTCAACTTGTTCGATTCGCTCGTGTATGTAACAACGTATTTGATTTTGACGAAAGAAATCTCTGTATTACTGAAAAATTATTACACCAGGGTTTTCGACTTCACAAACTAGTCAAAACATTTACTAAATTTTATCATTGGTACAAGGACATCATTCGTAAATATAAATCAACATGCAGACATCTTATACGTTCAGGTATTTCGCGTCCAATCTTTTATGGGACGCAATATTCTATACAAAGCACAAAAATGTCGTCATTCACCACAAAAGCTAACCAAATCTCTAAACAGACTTATTCAGAAGGGATATAGTTACGATACTGTTGTCAGGTCAGTAAAGATGGCATATTTCGAAAATAAACACATTTATTCTAAAACCAGTTGTTGGCATGATACGGGTTATGTTCTTCTCATATATATTATGATGGTATTATACTTAACGCCTAACTGGAGGGATTGTGTTTGATTTTCATATGATGAAGATCATAATCTTGAGCTGGAACTGGCATGTCAGTAACTGCTAGTAGTCCTTTGTTAACTTATGTATCATTGTCATTTTGCTTAGTTTCGACTGTTACATATTCTGACATAGGACTCGGACTTCTTTTAAGCTGAGTTTTACTGTGCGTATTGCTGTGTATTTGTTTATTCTACATTGGCTAGAGGTATAGGGGAGGGTTGAGATCTCACTATACATGTTTAAGCCCGTCGCATTTTTGCACCTGTCCAAAGTCAGGAGCCTCTGGCCTTTGTTAGTCTTGAATGTTCTTTTAAATTCTAGTTTATTTATATATTTCGGAGTTTAGTGTGACGTCCATTTTTAATGAAATAGTGCACATTTTTGTTTGGGGGCTAGCTGAAGCCCGCCTCCGGGTGCGGGATTTTCTCGCTGTGTTGAAAACCCATTGGTGACCTTGGGCTGTTTTCTACTCTTTAGTCGGGTTGTTGTATCTTTGACACATTCCCCATTTCAATTCTCAATTTTATTTATTCTTCAAATTTCATTTCGATATCCAAATCCTTGTGTATATCATGTTCCGATGGGCGATGGTTCTCTCCGGGCACTCCGGTTCCTCCTCCAATAAAAGAAGGCCACCACAATATACAGAAAGGGGGCGTTAAACACCAACAATCAATTAATCTATCTATGGATACATGATTAGGGTTGTCTCCCTTAACATCGTCCCATTTTTTACAAATATCATAGACGGGCAAAACATTTATTTTCCATGGTACAATATATATATCACTAGTAGCAAGATTTCAGTCTGAAACGGTCATTTTGGTCTGATCAAGTCTGAATCAACTGAATTTACCGCTAGGGAAAAACGTTAAGACTTTTTAAGACTTTCAGACGCTGTTCAGATATGTCGTGTTCAGTCCGTTCATTCATGTCAAGATAAACAAGACAGAAGGCTCTAGCTGTTAAACAAGATATGTTAAGACGGTTTTAGATGAATTCAGACCAAACATAAAAAGTAATGTTCAAAATTTTCAGATCGGGTTAAGATCCGTTTAGTGTGTCAGTATGATATTAGGAGTTACGCCCCTTCATGTGGATGATACATTTTAATTATAAAAAAATTACAATATAAATGCTAGAATGAAAAACGTATATTTTTAATAATTAAACATAAAATCATTGGTTGACTTTTTATTTCTGTTGGTCTTTTTTTAAGAGATTAGTGATTTTGTTTTGTTGAGGAAATAACTTATTCGCCTATAACTGTTTATGATTTTATTTTATTTTTTATTTTCTGATGTTAATTTATGTATTTATCTACTTATTCTTTGAAAAGAAGTAATTGAAAATTTTAAACATAACATTATCAAAAGAGTGAAAACACCTTATAAATTTCATGCGTCTGAAGCACGTTTCTGGATTTAACTTCATCGGGAACGATCAACGTAAATACAAATATGTTTTATGTCAGATAATTTATATCCTTAATTTCGTTATCTTTCGATACTTTCCTCTAAAACTTAATAATTACTTCGTGGCATTTAGTAATCATTCCCCGTACGTGTTATTCTTTTTATATTTGGACAAAACCGTCTTTTTTTTTTTTTTTTTGCTTTTATTTCGTAGTGATGCGTAGTCACCAAGGCCGCATCAGGGGAACCATGTCTCCGAGTGCAGTTAATATTCTGAAAACTGCACTTAGACCGTGACGAGACAATAAAACTATAAATAACATACCATCGGAAAGAAGAAGATGTTGATGGGAGGGGGCGGGGAGGAGGTTACAGAATAGAGAATGAGTGGCAATAAATATAAAGAATAGAGAAAATGGATAAAAAAAATAAAGAATAGAGAATAATAAGGTGCTTGAATATAAAGAATTGATAATAATAGACAAAAAGTTTAAAGAATAGAGAAAATCGGCATAAAAAATTAAAGAATACAGAAATAAAGGACCCCCTCCAGATCCTCATAGAAGTTTTCGTTAAAACAATACAACCTAATTTAAGTTCAGCATCGAGTATATATCCTTGTAAATGCGTTAATCCTTTCTTTCATTTTAATAACAATTTTATTTAATATAAAATAATTATGTATTTATTTGTTTATTCAAGTTGCACTATAGCAAATAATTCTTCTTCGTTTTTTTCTTCCTATAATAGTAATAAATGTATTCGTTATTTAATATTTTCTGTCAATAAAGATTGAATTCGATGGCACGTGCCACTAATCAAAAATGATCCTTAAACTATCAAAAACTTGGCAATTACAATGGCTATTTCACAATTACATCATATGTACACCTCCGTTCATGTATGTGTAATTTAAGGTTCTGACACATTTTATAATAGCTTCTTTCTGAACACTATTGACGACATTGTTAAAACTGCACGAACATATCACAAAACCGCAAATTTAGTGGTTAAAAAATAAACGATAATGAAAAAAAAATAATTAAAAACTAAAAACAAAACAAAATTCTGTTGGAAGTAGCATATATTTACATGTATAAATTGTCTAGTGCTTTTATTACAGCGGTATACTTGTTTTATACACAGACCATATTCTGATCATATTCTATGCTAAGATATTGACAAGACAGAAGTAAATATGTTAAAAGTCGTTTTAAATCAATTCATTTCACAGCTGAGGCAAATGTTCCTCCCCATTGTTGAATGGAGGTTAAATAAATGTGAACAATAAAAAAGATGTATATTTCTTAGGCATGGAGCTAGGCATTTCTGAAGTATCTTTGATAGCATTTTTTTCCTATCAAAAATGTATGCTGGTATATATGTAACTCTAGGTGTTTACCTAAAATGTTATGTATATGTAAAAGTTTAAGATTTTTTTTTTAATATTTGCCAAAAAAAAAACATTATCCGGAAAACCATATAATGGCGTTTTGTCCTTTAATTCTTTTTTTGTGATTTTCTAACCTACCTTCTAATTGATACGTTAATCCAAACAGTGCAAGTGTGTAATGCAAACATACAAAATTCGGCTTTGGTGTATCATGTTAAAACAATACCCATAAATTATGATAATTTTCAATAATTTTAGATAAGATTATGCAAGGAAATGTGTTATTGTTTTCTATTTATCTAGCAAAATTGTATCTTTTTTTACACAAAGATGTCGATAAATAAAATTTGATACCCTGCATTTTTCATGCATTTCAATAGCATATTGTCAAATTGTTAAAAGATCTCCTCCTTAACAGGGAATCCGTTAGTATTGAAAGTCCCTGTCCTAAATTATTGAATTTGTCATTCTGCATTGACAATATTCAATTTATCTTGGTGTAAGTAATACGCGCTCATTCGGGCTAACGCCCTTAATGTGTATCTAATACATATTATTTTCTCCCTCGTTTCACCCCTCCGATAATAAAGTTTTTTCTTAACTAGATATCGTAGAAAAACCAAACACAGTATAGGGTTGTGCGTTCGCTACAAGATCGCCTTGAATTTAACATGTTCAACATAAATATATACAATCAGCCATGCAAAAAGGCATAACATTTGTGTCAACTAATTCTGCCTCTTTAAAGGTCAAATGAAAGTTAGTCATTTCACTCTACTATGGAATGAAATGAACGAGAGAACTTTTGACGTGGTATAGTTATAATATAACTGTTCTTTATACTTATGCTTAGTTTGTACTGCAAGCCGAAAAATCCACTTTGCTCTCTGGATGTCTCTTGGTTTTTGTTTTTGTTTTTGGTTTGTTTGCTATATAATTGACGTAAATAAAACCGACAACTCCTTTTATTCAGATACATAATTTGAGTTCTGTAAATTTCTAGACGTACGTAAGAATGAAAGACGAAAATGCAGGTTTCATAAGTGGTCATCAAAGAGCGACACAATTAAAAACAAATAAAAATATAGTTATTACAGCTACAGTCATTTTTTTTTTCTCTATTAAAACATATTTGATACTTTTTGCGCTATTGTCATATATCAAAAAAAATCTAACATTTCCATAAGCTTTCTGTGATTTCCCCGATTCACCATTATGATGTCATGCCACTTGCTATATGGATTCAGAAAACAAATTTACGAAATCTATGACCACACAATTGTAACTGTTCCTATCTTTATTAACAAAATTTAGCGTAAATATTTACAACTATAAAAATTAGTAACAGTGGTGGTCTATTCTGCCCGGAAAACAATGCGGACTAAATCTGTGTACAGTGCACGTGGCAGATCCAGTCTTTTTAAATGGGGGTTCCCAACCAAGGATAAAGGGAGGGGATCCAACCGTATGTCCTTATTAACAAAAGGGGGTCCAAAATCCGCCCCCCCTCCCGCCCCATCCGCCACTGTGTGTACCACTGACATTAAATTTTACAAATATGCAAATCGATACTTGTTCTGTTAGATAGAGGAATTGTCTACCCCCGATCAAGAATCTCATTAAATTGTACAGATGTGCATACGTATTAGTCTAAAATATAATCTTTCATCTTATCAAATTTGAATCTCATGATTTTTGTAAAAAGGCGGAATTACATTTCCAAAGTGATATTCAAACTTATTATTCAAAGACAAACTGACAACGCCATGTCAAAATAAAAAAAAGTCAAAATGACAAACTGTACAGATATGCTAACTTAGAATATATAGAACATACTTTATGACTTCATAACCATAGAAAGACAACGAAAGATCATATCATAAACAAAATTGTATTGAAAGGTCAATGATGAGAAAATTTTAACATTTGTTATACCTAGTACTTCATAATCTTTTTCTGAAAAGTTTTGTCGTCCTGAATATGCATGAAATGTTTGCCACTGGACGTTAAGCAACCAACAATCAATTAATCTTTTGCTCTAAAAAATTAATTAAACAATATAAGCCACAATTGTATCCATCACTTGGTGTCTGTTTGGGAGCCAGCTGAAGCACGCCTCCGGGTGCGGGATTTTCTCGCTGTGTCGAAGACCCATTGGTGGCCTTCGGCTGTTTTCTGCTCTGTGGTCGGGTTGATGTCACTTTGACACATGCATTCCCCATTTCCATTCTCAATTTTGAATAGTATAAAAAGTTGTTTTATTTAAAAGAGACTTTGAATAATAACTTTAAAACACAGTTATGTTATAATTGAACGAGTTCATAAAAACTAGAAATAAAGGACTATATATATACTGGAGTAAAACCAAAAGTTTGTTCCGACACTAGACTTGTAGGCAACGGCTCAGATATACTTATTTATACTGGATAACCTATATGTGTGGTCATAAAAATTACAGACTAATTTCCTCTATGTAAACACAAGGAGATGTGGTATATTAAGAATTGCTTATGAAACAACTAAGTTCCAGGTTTGTGAGATTTGTTCCTTACCTGGTGAAATAAGTTCCTTGTCTGTGAAATATGTTCCACTGGTTATACAAGTTATCTTTTATACTGAGCATTTTTATCAGTGAGCTTAAAGTTATAATTCAAGTACATTATAAAAACATGTATTATATTGATAATGTAATAAATAAAAGGTGTAAACATCCAATATGGATTCTGTGAAGTATAGCAAAATGTTTAATTACATTATCCATACAAAAATACCCAAATGACAATAATTTAATGAGGCAGATAAGCGAAGAATAAGAAAAATCCGTCAGAAATTTTTTATAGATCAATCATTTATTTATGAATATTGCAATTCAACATATGTTACTTCATATCAGAATTTGTAGATAAACTGTTATCACAGAAATATGTCTCATCCTTTTGTAATTTTGATTATGCAAATGTTGAAATTAAAATAGCAATACTTTAACATGTTTCATAAGTTATGCAAATATTCAAAGTCAATGAACCATGACTGAGGTACATGGCTAAATAATTTCCATGTAAATGAGATGTGCCAAAGCTAATACAACTGCATACCAAATACCATTGAATTATTATAAGTCGTTCCCTTTAAACAAACCTAAACACAAACATTAACTTATAAACTATGTAAAAGTTTCAAAGTCAATAAACCATGAAGAGGGGGTGAGGCTATATAATATCCATGGAAACGATATTTGCAAATGCCAATAAATTTGCATACCAAATATCGTTTACTTAACATTAGCAGTTCATCTTAAACTGATCTAATCACAAACTAATACATGTAAACTAAGCAAAAGTTTCTAAGTCGATAGACAATGACTGAGGGGGCGGGGCCAAATATTCTCCACGGTAATGAGATGTGCTAATGCTTATACAACTGAATACCAATTAACATTTGCCTACCCTAAATAGTTCCCCTTGAACTGACCTAATCACAAACTAATACATGTTAACTTAGCAAAATTCTCAAAGTCAATAGACCATGACTAAGGGAGCCAAATAATCTCCATGGAAATAAGATATGCCAATGCTTATACAACTGCATACCAAATATCATTGACCTACCACTAGTGGTTCCCCATAAACTGACCTAATCACAAACTAATACATGTAAAATAAGCAAAAGTTTCAAAGTCAATAGACCATGACTGAGGGGGCATGGCCAAATAATCTCCATGGAAATGAGATGTACCAATCCTAATACAACTGCATACCAAATATGATTGACCTACCACTTGTGGTTCGCCATAAACTAGACCTAATCACAAACTAATACATTGTTGACGACGCCGCCGCCGCCGACGCCGGAAACAGCATACCTATGTCTCGCTTTTTGACTCCGTCAAGGCGAGACAAAAAATGAAATAGTGTGTTTTAAATATTTATCGCAGTTGTTAATCATAGTTGTGCATTTGTTTTTTAATCATATTATCTACGTACAATATATATGCTGACTTAATTTGAATTTCTCAAAGATTTACCTTATTTTGAACGTTGTCGTGTTGTTTAAAGACTTCAATGTTGAATATTAAACTTGTCAGGTACAACTATAGAATGTTTTGCTTGATATAAAGTTAATGCATCATGTTAATCTATAACACCCGGAACTTATTTAACATTTAGTAAAAAAATTAGTTCCGGAACAAATTTTACAGTGCTGGAACATATTTTCTTAAAATATATATTCCGGGTAAAAATTTTCTGTGATATAAATTCCGGTAGAACATATTTCCTATGAAATAAGTTCCAGCGGAACAAATGTCACGCCGGAACATTTTTTTTGTTACAAAAAATAATCTTAATAGCAAAAAATAATTCAGATATTACTTGGAACTATGAGCAGGGTCAGGAACAAACTTCTAATGTTTGTTTTGAGGTTTATTGACTATTTATACTAGACATGCTAAATGAGAGAAAGAGAAATAAAAGAAAATTATAAATTTAAAAGACGAAAATACTGTTGGCACTTTAAAAGATTATTCTTAATTGTATGTTTTCTACAAGAATTGTAAAAACAAGTATAAACATACATATACTATGATCATAAAACAAAAAGACATTTATATTTCAACATACGAACGGTCTCCCACAAAAGATTATGTCAATCCAGTATGTCAAGCTTTTAAGGGTAAGTATGATAAGGGCCTTATTCGTCATCCAACATTAAATGGTATAGTAAATAAATATGAAGATATGTACAAGTAAAGCAATAACAAAAGATACAGTATCAAGCTGTATGCTTGATTAAGTTTTGGTCAAATTTGTTGATTCTCTTATGTTGATGGCCTCATAGTGAACTTAAAGTAGCTTTGCAGAACTTATCACCTTCTTTATAACCAACGACGTCTATTATGATTTGAAAAAAATGGCGGCGAAACTACTTTGTTTTCAGGCGCTTACAATAGGTCTTATATAACAAATTATCCGTCTCACGACTCTGAGTATTTTTCATCAAAAAATAAAATCAAGAAGTCCAATAAAACCAAATAATCTGAAAAAAAGAAACATTTAATTGTTAAGGATACTCATTATTCAAATATAGAAAAAGAGGCGTGGGGCATTCCACATTGCAGTCCAACTACAATGAATAGACAAAATCTTCATCGACAACAAAAATAACCATACATATATGTGAAGCTTTACATTTTAAGGATCATTTTTGAAAAGATGTGAGATACCGTTGGAAATATATTAATTGTGTTCTTATATGTTTAAATTTACTACGTTTCACATTTACCAGGCATGGGGCGAATTACATTTCAATGTTATGCATTATATTACAATTACTTTGACCAAACCATGCATTATATTACAATTACAATTACATGCATTTATCAAAGTAATGCATTATATTACAATTACTTTTGCAAAGTAATGCCTTGAATTACACATTACATTTGAAAATTTTATTAGTGAATAGAAAAATTAAACATTTTGAAAAACAACTACAAGTCACAAAAGATTCTAGCATATGCAGTAACTGTTCCATGAATTGAATATAAGTATACATGTAAAAAGTCTATTTAATTTGACTTTTACAATTTTTAATTATTTTAACTTAATGTTGACTTTACCTTTATAAATATATTTTTTGTTGTTTTTCTTTAAATTTTAAACGAAATATTTAATTACTGTGAATTACTTCCCTAATTATAAAATAAACATAGACCTTAATTAAAATTAACATATTCTTAATTAATCAAGAAATCTTAAATTTGGTTTAGTTAAAACTCCAACAATATGTTAAAGATGTAGTATGTGAAAAAAATAATGACATGTAATGCCATGTAATGCATGAAATTACACAACTTTTTGCTAAAGTAATGCATTATATTACAATTACATGTAATGCACAAATTGCTGCATTACACATTACATGCAATTACTTGGAAAAATGTAATGCATTACCATGCATTACAATTACAAATTTGCATTACCCCATGCCTGCTCTCTACACTTTTCGATGCCTATTATGAACGAAAAACTTTCAGGTGGAAGCGGCCATACTTTTCTAACACAAATAAACAAGCAAACAACCAAAGAAAAAGCCAACGAACAACTCCGATATCTGTTTGAAAAAAAATAATCGAGAAAAAGACATTACCCCCAATTTCCAGTTTTAATACTTTCCCCCCAAAAAAATTGGTAAATCTAAAAAAAGGTATAAGCCTTTTATAATTTTTGTTATCTACTACAATTTACATACAATTTTGAACGAATTGAACTACAAAGAGAAAACATTTTCCACTTTCATCAGCTATGAGACGGCTAGCTTTTTAGAAAAGCATAATTGAAAGGGTTATTTGCATGAGTATAGATCAATTGCTTTTCTTTCACCCAAGCCATGCATATACTCAGAGGACAAAAAGGATAAAAAACTTGAACATAAGTACAGTATAAGTAAATTTTTTGAAAATAAAATAGTTCCCTACTTTACCATCTTACTATTTTATGACGTATTAGGACCTAAATTAAATAAAATTTTTTGCAAAGTTTTAAAATATCCAGTTACCTTTAAAGAATAATGATAAGATCCGAAATAAGGTAACTTTAAACTGTGAAGGAAAACATGTATATATGATGAATCGTTCTAAACCCCAACCCTTTTACATAAGTCTTATAAAATAACCTTCTCATTATAAATTCTGATGTACGTATAGCACCTTTAACTAACAATTAGAAGAAAGTTTAATTTAAGACCACTTAAATTCTAAATTCTTATTTGTAAATATATCCAGTTCTTACTTAACTTATTCTTACACTTCAGCACATTATGAATATTATTTTTAAAATTTTATGATGACAATCCTATGAATTAGTTATAATATTAATTATTTAGTAATTATTATTGCCTAAATTCAGTCATCTGTACATAATTAAATGTTTCCTTATGTTCTAAGGTGTATATAGTTGCTACAATTATACCCTATGGGTAGTGCTCCACAATTAATGGAGGAATATACAAGAAACTGAACTGAACTGATTAATCGTAGAGAGATGTACCTAAATTTATGGTACATAGTTAACAGAAAAAAGTTTCATTCTCAGTCTTATTTCAACTGTATTAATTTTAAAGACATGTCACATCCAAACGAAGTCTACGTATATGTACATGTATACGTCTTGTCTTGTCTATAGTCGGGAAATTTTCAATTCAATTCATTTCATTTGAAAACGTTAAAAATAATATAGATCTTATTCATTGCAAAACGTGACGTCCTTTTTGGATAAAACCCCTGTTTCATCTACGAGGAAAGTCCTATAATATAAGAATGCATATATAGGTGTGGTTGAACATTGATAGTAAAAAAAAGGAAAATCTGGCATCAATAGAGCGCATAATAAATTAAAAAATAATACCCGAAATAAATGTATATAAAATATGTGTGTGACTATTGAAAGTGTATCCACATATTTACAAGACACTGTCGCTTTTTTCACTCGTTCTTGTCCAGTAACACCGTGTATCATCGGTACAGCGGATATAGGTACTAACCAAGCGGACGTGATCGATTTTTCTTCTGACACGGTAAGAAAGTCTTTGTTGTGTTTACATAATATCAATGTGTACCTCAATCTAAACATAATTGTTGTTTTAAGAAATGATTTGGTCGTTGATGATTAAAGAAGTCTCATTATTTTCCTAAAACAA